CCCTTTTTTTAAAGAAACCATCCAACCGCTTAATAAAAAAAAAAAAAAAAAAAAAAGCAGAATGAATAAAATCCAACTCCAATGAATCTCAGGGGCAGAACATAAAATACCTCACCCCACATCAGTTACCCTCTTCCTCAGAATGTTTCTAAAACATTGCATCTTGAACTATGAGAAGGGCACTCTGTAGTCAAATACTTTGTGAAACAGTGGGTTTGACAAAGTATTTTTATAAAACTACTATAATACACCATTAATATTCTAGTATTTAACATATTAAACTTGCAAGAAAGTTTAAAAGTTCTTTTAGAAGGAAACCTTTCGAAGGGAAATATCTTATTAGGAATGAATATACACCAAAGTCATGAAAAATCCCCTATGGCAGAGTTTAAGATAACTGCATCTTAAAACTGTTTCATTCCTTTTTTAGCCCCTCTGCTCCTCATCTAGACATCAGTAAATGTCCTTTTTAGATGTTGACGGTTTCAGCTTTTAGCAGCTCCCAGTGTCCTACTGCTTATTTAAATGTTGTCTTATTAAGTCACACTAACTTCTTTAATAACAATTACAAAAGTGTTATAAACTTTTTAACACATAATGGAAAATCAAAGCCAAAAGATACTACAAAAATGTTATTTACTTTTGTGGATGATCAACTTTTCCAGTTTTCTTTTAGCAGCTGCTCTTTCCACAATTTTCTGATCAACTGTATTTGCTGTAACAAGGCGATATACAACAACTGGCTTTGTCTGACCAATCCTATGACATCTATCCTGGGCTTGCAGATCAGACTGGGGGTTCTTAAAGTTAAAAAAGAAAGTAGCATTTAACAGTAGTAGGTTACAATTAACTAAAATTTAGAATACTTGGGTAAAGTCAACAGGCATGAACCAATTAGAGACTTTTAAACTTTGCTGTCAAGTTCTAGAGTGGCTTCATAAATAAAATTATAATTCTATATACCCTTGGCAATCACAAATTTTTAAAAATACCCCAAAGAAAACATTTCAATATTTACATGCAGAAAACTTAATAACATGTTGATTCTTTTTTTTTTGGAGAGATTTTCACTGTAGGGCGCGTGCGCTCGCCAGACAGAGACATAGAGACAGAAAGCGAGAAATCACCCCCCAGGGGGGATGGTCACGCCGTAATCCCTTCTCCTCCATTCTCCTCTCGGGATCTTGGGCACGCACGCACACGCGCCCGGCGTGAGTTTTAAGCCACCGGGTCCGAGACACGAACCGCGGTCGACTACGTGGGAGTCCAGCGACACAGCCATTACGCCAACTGCTGGTTCCCAACATGTTGATTCTTAGCAGAAAATGAATACCTTTCCAAAACAGATAAATGAAATTGCAATGAATACAACAAAAGGTTAAAAATTCAGAGTGGGGCCCAGCTGCAGCTCAAATAGGATGGTACGGATTTGAGGTGGCTGGGTCCATGTGGGAGGCCTATGTTCGGAACCTAACCCAATCAGGTATAATAGCATAGGCCTTCAATTGAAAGTGGCTGGTAGACAGGGATAAGAGGATTCCAACATGGCAAAACTGTCAAAATATCTTACATTAAAAAAAAAAAAAAAATTCAGAACAGAAATATAATCAGTATATTGCTGTAATTTCAACTTACCCAATCACTATCATAAATGATAACCGTGTCTGCTGCAGTCAAATTAATGCCAAGGCCGCCAGCTCGTGTACTCAATAAGAAGATAAACACGTCTGGATCTGTGTTGAAGTTGTGCATCTAAGAAGCCAACAAGATATAAATTTAACATATTAAGAAAGAAATTATAGGGCTGGCAGGTGGTAGAGATTTAGGTGCTAAATCTTACATAACAAGTTGCACAGTTTGAATACTGGACCCAGCAGTTTTAAAAATCACAGCAGGGGCATGTACATGCATGCCCAAAGTACCAAGAGGTGAGTGGAGGAAAACGGATTTGCAGCCTATGGCCATTCTTGGGGGATGAATTCTCACCCTCTCCCCAAGGGCACGCAGCCTAGAGTAAATACCAAAAACAAAAAATCTATAACTTTCACCAATAAAATTGGGGGAAAACTATTTTTTATTGCTTAGAAGTATGAACCAATCATTCAGATCTAAAAAACAATGAAACCTTTGCTCATGTTAGTTATTTTCCAAGCATCTAATAGAGATCTTAATTTTATTAAAAACCAAGTTTAAAAAAGAGTAAGTAATATCAAAATTTGGTGAAAAAACTAGTAGCTGCTGCTAAGGAGATGGGGTAGGTGTAAAGGGTGGAATAACTAGGAGGAGGCATAGAGAACTTTCTGATGGTAAAATTCTTTATCCTTTAAAATTTTTGCCAGAGTGCACATGTGCTTGCTGGAGACAGACAGAGGTAAAGAGGGGGAAAAAATGAGAAAGTAACCTCCATGAGAAAGAGTCAAGCTACTATCCTTTCTCCTCCATTTCTGCCCTGTCTGGATTTTGGGCAAGCATACACATGTGCCTGCTGTGTTTTTTCAAGCCACCAGTCTGGGACCTGAACCTTGTGGTCAGCCTGTGCAGTCCTGCTGCCTTAAGTCACCATGTCATGGAACGATTCAGTTGTGTTCCATTCTCTTAACATAGGTTTGGGACACATCTGCACATACACTTGTCAGAACTTAGCAGATATATACTTTATTTACTTTAGAATATGTACTTTTACCTCAAAACGTAAAATATGCTGAAGTCATTAGAGAGAAGGGTGGTTATCATCTATATTTATTATGAAATGCAATAAAAAGAGTAATGGAATGAATACTGTATGAATACAGAAATGGATTGATGCTTTATCATAGACATGTGATTTAAAAAAAGGTATGGTTAATTTTTTTTAAAAAAGAGATTTTTGCTATAGGGCATATCTGCTCACTAGAGACAGAGACGGAGAGAGAGAAACCACCCCCCCTAGGGAGATGGCCACACAACAATCCCATCTCCTCCATTTTTCTTTGGTATTTTGGGCATATATACACACCAGGCCTGAGTTTCAAGACACCAGGTCTGGAACTTGAGTCACAGTTGGCCATGAGGAAGTCCAAAGCCTTAGCCACGAAGCCAGCAGCAGGCCCCTACAGTTAATTATTAATTGCAGATATTAGGTAGATTTATGGTTGTTCACTCTAAAAGTCAACTTAGCTATAGTTTTGAAAATTTCATAATATACTGGAGATGTGGCAAAAACTTAAGAGGAAAGTTAATCCCTAGTATCACAATATTGTTACAAAGAAGGTTAAAGGGATATTTTAAGATTGTGTCAGAAGTTATTTATATATTTAAGAATAGTGGTTGGGCCAGCAGGTGGTGTGGTGGTTAAGGACGCTGGACTCCCACATGGCTGACTGCAGTTCAAGTCCTGGACCTGGCGGCTTGCTCTCTCTCTCTGTCTCTCCCTGGTCAAATTAAAATAAGTAAATAAAGTTAAATAAAATAATTCTTAAAAAAAAAAAAAAAAAAAAAAAAAGAATAGTGGTTAAGGCACAAGACTCCCATATGGCCGATCGCAGTTTGAGTCCTGGACCTGGAGGCTTAAAACTCACACCAGGCACATGCATGTATGTGCCCAAGATCCCAGGAGGAGAATTCTTTCTTGCTTTCTCTCTATACCCCCAACGAGCACACGCACAACACCCTACAGCAAAAAAAATCTCTCAAAAAAAAGAAAGAAAAAAATTAAAATATTAGTACTAAATTGAAATACATGTTTTTCACCTTACCACAGAATTTCAGTCATGCCTATTAATTTGTTAGTGTACATAGAACATTACTTTAGAAATCAAGATAGGAACTATAATAATTTGGTATGTGACAAAACTAGTCTTACATTTTCTTCTCTCTCTGAGTAAGACATGGATCCATCAAGCCTGCTGAAGTTGAAATTTCTAAGATGGCAATAATCCATTAAGACATCCAACATACTTGTCATTTGGGAAAAAAGCAGCACCTGAAATTTAAATATATCTTAGTATGCATAGTGATTAGCAACAATTATTAAACAACCAAAATTTCAAGAAGTATCACCTTGTGACCTCTTTTTTTCAGTTCTGGTAGCATTCGATCCAAAATTAAGAATTTCCCAGAATTTGTTACCAATTCTTCATCAATCTTAAAAGCAGAGAAAGAAAGAGAGAAAATTCACTGTAATCATTTACTTTGTCAAAAGAAAAACCATTCAAACAGCAGTTAATTTTTCAACGATGATTTGCTATAAAACTTAAAGACTGTCTTTTAATTCGATATTTTCAGATCAGAAAAAATATAACCTTTATAATGTAAAACTGGAGATTTCACAAAATCTAAATTAAGTTCAGGTATAACTGATCCTCCCCACCACTTTCTCAAAAGTTTTATGTAAGAGAATAGTAAGTTCAAACTTCCTGTGCACATGCTAAGGTTTGCTCTTTTTCATTAAATAAACGTCTAGAAAAATGTATTAGGAAAATTGCTGCTAGAAATTATAATTAAAATTAAAGACAACTCAGTTGCTATAAGCAATCTAAGTACTGAGGATAAAGAAATTATTTACCATCTGGTGAAATTACTTCATCAGAGATACTCATTTGAATAGGAAATTTTTATTTTCTTCCTTACTCATATAAGAGTGCAAAGCAGAGCTTCTTAAATGGGGGGCAGGGGGGAATTTTGCCCTCCATTCCAGGGGACATTTGACAGTGGCTGGACATTTTAGACTGTCAACTACGGAGGGTGGATACTACTGGCATCTAGTGGGCAGAGACTAACAATGCTACATGTGCAAGGATCTTACCTCCTAAATAAGAGTCATATGATCCAATACTGGTAAGAGTGAGAAAACCTACTATAAACTACCATTAAACAGGGCTTGTGGTTACTAAGAACATGCTTCTTTAAAAAAAAAAAAAAAGTTATTTATTTATTTAAGAGTGTGTGTGTGTGTGTGTGTGTGTGTGTGTGTTTAAATTCGACGAGAGAAAAAGAAAGTGAGAAAGCAAGCTGCCAGATCTGGGACTTGAACCACAGTCAGTCATGGGGGAACCGAGTACCTTTAACCACCATGCAACCTGTTGGCCTCAAGAACTTATTTTTTTTAATATTATGCTACTTTTCTATCAACTGCCCAAGGAAGCAATTCCATTCACTTAGTCTGAAAATCTCCAAATCAGTATCAACTTCTTGGATTTCTTCTGTAGCTATTTGTTGAGACTGAAACAATGATCAGTCAGGCTGTTTTTGATCAGCTGACTTGTTATTTTAAGAATTATTTTCTTATTTGACCAGACAGGGACAGAACAAGAGAAAGAGAGAGGGGGAAAGTAACAAAGCAAGCTGCCAGGCATGGGACTTGAGCAGAGGTCAGACATGTGGGAGTCCAGTGTTCTTAACCACCATGCCAGCTGCTGGCCCTGATCAGCTGAATATTAACTAAAAGGAATACTACAGAGGTTAACAGCTGCCTCTAAAATAGACAGTAGATAAAATAAAAAGAGTAGTCAAGTCAATGCTAAATTTAATATAATCCATATCGGTTAACCTAAGTAAATAAAACCAGCTGCACTGCACACACAAAGTAATCATTCACAACTTAAGTTACTCTGAATTTGGGGAGAAGACTGTCTCGGTTTACCTGAATGATAATACAACATTTATTTGAAATAATCAACAAAACAGGCAAAATAACGCTTTCTCCTAATATAAAAGTAATAGAAATCAAAACAGTAAGCTATTAAATGGTATTCACCTTAAATTCTTGTGTGACAGGATCTATAGGGTACTCAATCAAATATGGATGATTACAGCATTTACGAAGTAGCATCATTATATTCTGCAGCTTCAGATTAACTTCAGATTCTACAGGGGTATTCATTTCCACAACAGTTCTACCAAAAACATATGATAAATGAACATGAAACATGCAAAAAACACAAGTTTAAAGAATAGGTACATTTATTTTCAAATTCGCACCTTCCTCTGTCCACATCGGGCTGTATTTGACTGATCAATTTTTCCAATTCATCAGGGAAATCATCTATTTTGCTATAATTTATTGATTTCCTAGTCCGCCGTTTCATTCGTCCAGTAGGACTTACTTCGACTATTTCTTTCTAAAAGACAACAAATTAAAGATATCAATTTAACAGTAGTGGAGCAGGCAGGTAGCATGGTGATTGAGGACTGAACTTCCACATGACCAACGACAGTTTGAGTTATGGACCTGGCAGCTTGCTTTTTCTCTCTTTCTCTTTCTGGTGAATGTGTGTGTCCTGTAGCAAAATTTAAAAATAATAATGATAAATAAAATGAAATAGTTACTGTTTAAGATGTATGTAAAGTTCTTTTTTGAAAATGATGGACATAGTATCACTCTTAGTTTGATTGTCATATAATGCCTGTTTACTTTAAAACACCTTACTGTACATTAAAGAGATGTACAATGAAACATAGTAAGAAATCATAAGAGTATCTGTTTAAAAAGCTATTATACCCTTAAGTTCTAAATAGAAACAACAAAAAATTTTTAAGATAATAAACAAAAAAGTTTGTCTTTCACCATTAAGTTTAGCAATTCCTAAAGGTACAATATAGATCCATGATCTATATCTGAATGCAAATGTTGCATGAAATTTACTGCCAGACGGTGCACGCAATCACCAGAGAAAAATAGAAAGACAAATCACCCTTCCCATAGGGCATGGTCATGCCACAATCTTTTTTCCTCCATTATTCTAGCCTGCCAAAAGTTTGAGAACAGGGGACCAGCCAATGACATAATGGTATGTCACTGAACTCCCACATAGTTGACCTCGGTTCAAGTCCTGGACCCAGTTGTTTGAAAAACTTGCACCAAGTGCATGCGCATGCATATGTGTGTGTGTATGCCCAAAATAGTGAGAGGAGAATGGAGAAAGGACTGCAATGTGGCCATCCCCCCAGGAGGAGATTTCTCACTTTCTGTCTCTCTGGCAAGTGAATGCATCCTATAGCAAATATCTCTAACCTTCCCCCACCAAAAAATTGAGAACAGTACACACACACCCAGCATGTTTTCCATTTTGCCGTGTCCGGAATTTGAACCAGTCACAATGTAAGACCCAGCTCTCAATGCACAATGCTCAACCATTGCGCTAAGAGGACGGTCCTAAAGTTGATATTTTAACAATGATAATGCCTAAAAGTAGGAGCAAGTGCTTTCGTATAGCTCAATAGAGAAAAAAATTTAAAAGCAACTACAGTTTTCTATACCTAAAAGCCTGCTCCTCTCTTTAACTATAAGTGATATTAAAAGTCTAATGGTCATACTTAACCATATGCATACACTAAGTATTTTAAAAAGAAATAGAGGACCATAGCATATAGTTAAAAATGTAAAGGTCTCCCAATCTTTGGCTATATGATAATGAAATCACACCCTCATCTCTTTTATAATATGATAGATGACTAAAGTAGGTATCTCTTTCAAATAGAATATTCTATTAAATCTTTAGCTATTGGGCCAGCAGACAGTGTAGCAGTTAAGTTGCTGGACTCCCACATGGCTGACAGTGGTTCAAGTCGCAGACACGGTGCTCTAAGACTCACACCAGGCACATGTGCATGTGTGCCCAAGATTCTGGGAGAATGGCGGGTGGTTTCTCACATTCCCTCTCACTGTCTGTCTCTCTCTCTCTCTCTCTCTCTCTCTCTCTCTCTCCAGTGAGCACACAAAATCTAAGGCAAAAATCTCTATGAAAATAAACAAGCAAACAAACCTTTTGCTATCAATAACCTCCGATAAAGGAATCGTCTACTTGTGAGGAATCAGTTTAGTTGGCAAACCCTTACCAAATGGACTCTCAACTATGTTTGTTAAAAATGCACTTCTGGGGAACCAGCAGTTAGTGTAATGGCTATGTCGCTGGACTCCCATGTAGTCGACCGCGGTTTGCGTCCTGGATTGAAACTCACACCGGGTGCGTGTGCGTGCATGCCCAAGATCCCAAGAGGAGAATGGAGGAGAAAGGATTGCGGCGTGACCATCCCCCCAGGGGGTGATTTCTCACTTTCTGTCTCTCTGTCTCTCTCTGTCTGGGGAGCGCACGCGCCCTATAGCAAAAACCTCTCCAAAAAAAAAAAAAGCACTTCTGGGGCAGCTATGGTGGTGATCAAGGTTGCTAGATCCCATATGGCTTAATGTATGGCTAGAGTCCTAGATGCAACAGCTTAAAAAAGACTGGGCACAAGTTACTGGGCATGTGTGCCCAAAATCCTGAGAAGGAGAAGGAATTACAGCATGGCCATTTCCCCTACTGGGAGATGGGGTTCTTGCTTTCTGTCTCTTTCCAGCAAGTGCACATGTCAAATAGATTTTTTTTTAAAGGGAGATTTTTTGCTATAGGCCATGTGTGTTTGTCGGAGAGACAGAGAGACAGAAAGTGAGAAACCATCCCCAGTGGAGCTGGACGCACCACAATCCTTTCTCCTCTCAGGATCTTGGGCATGCCTGCACACGCATCTAGCATGAGTTTTAAGCCGAAGGGTCTGGGGATTGAACCATGGTCGACTACATGGGAGTCCAGCAATGTGACCATTAAATCATCTGATGGTCCCACCAGATATTAAAACAAAAACTCAAGTCTGTCCCCAGACAGAACTGATTAGGGTTTATAGCTAATCAGAGACAGGAATCTAAAATTTAAATAATAGATGAAACATCACTTAAATTTTAACTGGACCATAGACAGTAGGCAACAACTACTGCTATGGGCCTTATGGCTTCCTATTCTCCAGATAGAAATTAATCCAGTAAATCCTAATAACAAATAAGCTGTAAGATGAAAAAGTAGCACTGAATTTTATATACCAAGTCTCATTTATGGAATATTTAAATTTACACTCTACCTCACTGGATCCAAACATGTTTGCAATTGTACGATTCACAATGGCTGTGTAAAAGATTTCTTGTTTCTTTGAAAGTGGTGCATAAACAACTACTTCTCGTTTAGGAGGAACTTCAAGAGCAACATCAGATTTCAGTCTTCTCAATAAGAAAGGTGTTAGAATCTAAAATGTAAACATAAACAATTTTAAATATTAAACTTTCTGATATTCTCAGGGGATACCATCCTAACACTTACTACTTTTTTCTAAATTCTTACTGTACAAATGTTATAATGTATCAAAAGGTGAGATTAAAATATTACCTTCTTGAAATTTTCCCAGATCAGACCAGTTTGAGATAAACTCTTAACATTCATCCATAGCATCCACAAATCTTTCAAAAACTTTAAGGAAGGCCAGCCTTGACTACAGTAGATAAGGGAGCTAGATCCCACATGGCTGACCATGGTTTAAATACCTGTTCTGGCAGCTTGAAAAACATGCCAGGCATATGTGTGTGCTCATGCTCAGAACCCCATGTGATGTTTATGTCTACATGTTGTGCAATATGCAGGACTTTCTGTGTGTAATGTGTGTTACTCTGTGTGGTGTGCATGTCTACGTGTATAATGTGCACATACATGTGTATAATGCCTGCATCCATGTGTATGCAATATGCAAATCGGTGCATGGGTGTCAAGTGCATGTCAGCGCATGTGAAGTACATGTCTGCATCCCAACAAGATGAAATGAAGATGGGATTACAAGGGACCATGTTCCATTGGGGGATGTTTTCTCCTCTCTAGTGAGCACATGTCCTCTCTGGCAATTTAAAAAAAGAAAGGAGAAAAACTTCTAAGAATGTATCTTAAATAATAAGGTAATATTGACACTGATCAGGTTTAAAGTGATCTCTCTCCCTAATTTTTTTTTTTTAAGTTTGCCATAGGGTGTGTATACTTGGCAGAGAGACAGAAGGAAAGAGAGAAATCACCTCCCCTAGGAGAGATGAGCATGCTGAAATTCCCCTGCAACCCTCCAAGCTATCCTCCAGTATCCTCTCAGGACTTCGAATATGCAAACACATACACCCAGTGTGTTTTTCAAGCCTCTAGGTCCAGGACTTGAACCCAGCCAAAACTTTTTTTAAAATAATTATCTTATTTTATTTACTACTATTATTATTTTTTAATTTGCTATAGTGCATGTGCACTCACCAGAAAGAGAAACAAATAGAAAGTGAAAAAGCAAGTCACAAGGTCCGGGACTGGAACTGCATTTGGCCATGTGGGAATCCAACACCTTAACCACCAGGCCACCTAGTGGTCCCCAGCCCACAACTTTTTTTTTCTTTTGAGAGGTTTTTGCTAGCTCGCCAGAAAGACAAAGAGAGACAGAGATCGCAAGGAAGAAATCACCCCCCAGAGGGGATGACCACGCCACAATCCCTTCTCCTCCATTCTCCTCTTGGGATCTTGGGCATGCATGCACATATGCCTGGTGTGAGTTTACGCCACCGGGTCCAGGACTCAAACTGTGGTCGACTACGTGGGAGTCCAGCAACATAGCCATTATGCCACTGCTGATCCCCACTAGCCCATAACTTTTAAAGTAAGGTTTTAAACTAGCAGAATGTCAATAAACCTAGAGCTAGGGAAATGAAATTTCCTTCTGTAGGTCCTAAAGCATCAGGCTTAAAATGATTCTCCTAAGGTGATTACAAGTGATTATTAATTTATAAACAAAATAACAGCAGTAATAAATAATTACGCCCTTATTAAATTGTTTAGGCCTTTAAAAGAACAACAGTACTTGTTACAAATCATTTTATACTCTTTTTTGGGGGGGGAGAGGTTTTTGCTATAGGGTGCGTGCGCTTGCCAGAAAGACAGAGAGAGAGAGAGACAGAAAGCGAGAAATCACCCCCCAGGGGGGATGGCCACATTGTAATCCCTTCTCCTCCATTCTCCTCTTGAGATCTTGGGCACACATGCACACGCGCCCGGCGTGAATTTATCACTGGGTCTGGGACTCGAACCACGGCCTACTACCTGGGAGTTCTGTGACATAGCCATTAGGCTAATTGCTGGTCCCATTTTATACTCTTTATAACCTTATTTTTAATTGAGTTGACAATAGCTTACATGTAATATTCATATACAGTAAAGCTTATTTTCAGGGCTCTGTACTTAATGCACAACAGGTATAGCACTAAGTATGGAAGAGACTACCAGAGAAAGAGATGGCTTAAGAAAAAAAAAAAAAAAATCTGAAGATACCACCCCAGAAACAAATGTACCTACAGGTAATCAGAAAAGAAAAATGTAAATGTGCTAAAAATGTGTTAAAAGACATTCACATTTTTAATAAAGTATTTTTTCTATTGCTTATACTGACAAATATTAAAAAGTTTGATGTTATGAGCCAGCAGGTGGCTTGAAAATCACACCAGGTGCAAGTGCTTACATGTCCAAGATTTCACAATGAGAATGGAGAAGGGATTGTGTTGTGGCCATCCCCCCTGGAAGGTGACTTTTTACTTTTCCTCTCTGTTTATGTTTTTCTCTCTCCAGTGGGGGTACACACCCTAACACAAAAACCTCTTACACTTACACACACACACACACACACACACACACACACACACAGAGTGGAACTAGTCCCACAGCACAACAATTAAGCACTGTGCAGAGCCAGATCCCACAAGGCTGAATTCAAATCCCAGTCCCACAGCTTGAGAAATACACTAGGAATGTGCGTTTGTTCCCAAAATCTGCTGAAATGGGAAAACAAAGGAAAAAATATTGTGATGTGACCATACCAGAAGGTACCTTCTCTCTCCCTCCCTCTCTGGTAAATTCATGCATTTTCTAACAATTGAAATAACAACAATAAGAATGAATAATAAATATAACTAACAAGCTAAATCTCCATGTATTGAAGGGAAAATAATTTTCAAAATTATTATCTTAAGGGACAATATTATTTAAAAAAACTTTCCCCATAAAACATAAATAAAGTCATTTTATGTTTGCACAAGGACAGAAAAGCCTAGAAGAACATATTGCACAATGTATATAAGTCTAGAAAAACATACTACACAACATACATAATCATTCTGGATATTCTGCTAGGGAGTATGATCTAAAGGAATATTATTTTTACTTTCCACTTCTCTGTTTTACATTTTTATTACAAGCATATACAAACTTTAAAAATCAGAAAAATATAAACATTATGAAGAAAACTGTCAAAACATGATTGACCTTGGGCCGGCAGGTGGTGTGGTGGATAAGGGCGCTGGATTCCCACATGGCCAACCCTGTTTCAAGTCCTGGACCTGGTGGCTTGCTTTCTCGTTTTCCCTTTCTCTCTCTCTCACTGATAAAATTAAAAAATAACAAATGAATTAAATAAATAAATAAATCTTTAAAAAAATATAGACCTTTTCTGACCTACATTACTAGGAGACCTCTGAAAGATTGTTTTTCTAAAGACAGGTAAGATAAGGTAGAAATTACAGAAAATAATAAGGAAGAACAGATTAGACACCAGCCATGCCAGGAAGTATATTACTGGATAAATAACACATTTTCACTCTTTGATTGACAAGCAAATCAGTAACCATTAGGGGGGTAAAATCAGTATATATGAAAAAGGGCAGAATTTAGGCAAGCCCTTGATTTCTACCACAAAATCATGTGACCTCAGAGTGGGAGAAAGGCAGGAAAATAAATTTAAGGAAATCTTCAAATCCCAAATGTCTACTATAAAGGGTTGAACAGGTGATATCCAGGGTTCCTTTTAATTCTATGAACTTTAGCAAGGAATATAAGAAAACGATCAAAACCTGGTGCAGCATATGCAATACGTTCTGTTCTCTTTCTTTGGTAATAATATCTTCAGCAGTTTCAGAAAGACTAGTAATATCAAACCAAGACTCAAAGCTGGAAGAGAAAAATGTCTGTAAGTTAACCTATCATATAAATTTTGTTAACATGATATATACTTTACAATTTGATACTAATCTGTGTATTATGAAGTGTAGACACTGTGATAGTCTATGTTCTGATGCAGGTTAGTTACATTGAGAAGAATGCATCCAAACAAAGATAAATTTTTTGAACAAACAACTAAGAAAAGTGGCACTTTTCTGATTATGACCTGCTAGAATTAAATATATAGAGATATTCAGAATGGCATCTACTATACAACTTTAATTCTTACCAATGTGGCAAAAAAAAAGTTTATTAAATGAGCAATTAAGTAAACATGCAAATATTTATTATACTAAGTGACACTATTAGCAACTGTGAAAAATACTGGTAACATTTATACAGTAATTAAGACCATATTTTCAAACTTAGATTACATCAAACATATTTTAAAAATTTGGATTACCAATTCTTACCTCAATATTCTAACTTAGTAGGTCTGTATAGGACCTGAAAACCTTGTCTTTCATTAAAATGCCCAGTGATAGATAATAAAGGAGCCTGGTCTTGGGACAAGCAGTTGGCGTAATGGCTATGTTGCTAGACTCCCGTGTAGCTGACAGTGGTTCGAGTCCTGAACCTGGTGGCTTAAACTTACGCCGGGCAAACTCACGTGTGCTTGTGTGCCCAAGATCCCGAGAGGAGAATGGAGAAGGGATTGTGGTGTGGCCATCCCCTCGGGGGTTGATTTCTTGCTTTCTGTCTCTCTGGTGAGTGCACGTGCCCTATAGCAAAAACCTCCCCCACCCCCACCCCCCAAAAAAGAGCATGGTCTTGAGCTATTAACTGGTAAACAGATTTGGAATATATTCTTAAAATAAAATATTTAAGAATTTTCTCATATTAATTAATTAATTTCCCCATATTAATGAGTTTTCTTTGTTCATAACTTTTCCATATTAGCTTTCCTTTTTTTTTAACTTCATTTTTAAAAGTTCAAATTAATTATTCTTTCCTGACTTCACTTAATATATTTTAAAAATCACTTGCTTTTTCATCCTGAGAATGATTATTTTCTGAAAACAGTTTTTTGGTATTTCTGATATAAACTAAGATTCAAACAGTTTCTAGAATAAAAGGCCTAGATAAGTCTCAGCTGCAGTGGCATAGGTGGTAGGATGCCATACATGGTGTTGGAGCCAAATGGAAGATCCAGGATTGGATCTCGACCAGCCTTAAGCATTTCGAGCACAGCAGTGTATACCTATAATCCTAGCTAACTGGGAGCAGGGAAAGAAGGATTGAGGCATGATGAGACCATGTCAAAACAAAAACAAAAAAACATCTCTCTCTCCCTCTGAAAATAAAACAAAACAAATCCTGGGTTATAACTGAGTCATCTTGGTTTTAGATTTTGAGTCTGGTATATTTTGTGAAAACTTAATTCCTAGGTTTTCTTATATGTGAAATAGGGGGTTATAAATAGCTTCTCTACACTCCTAGGTTACTTCATGAGGATAAAATGAGAAAAACCCATCTTTAGTGTCTTCCCAAGTTAAAACAGAATGATTTACTATAAAAATATTTTCTTATCCCTGGAGAAGACAGAAGGGGCTCTGGTTCTTGTTAGGGCCCATAGGGTATCCAGGGAGATGAACAAAAACAGGAGGTGCTGCTAAGGCAGTGCTTAAGTACTGGAACACCAGTCCCCAGGCCTGGCTTCTGGGAAGCAGTGGGGCCCAGGCTGGCCCAACCTGCCAGGTGGGCTCATCGTCCAGTACAGTGACAGCTTACAGACCCTCCAGTCCCTTGCCGCCATTCTTCACATCAGGCAGTCTTTCACTAAGGAGCATTTTAATCATTTAAAGTTTGAAAAACAGAAAAAAAAATGTTTTTCTTATACTCTTGTTTTTCTTCAGAGTGTACAAATCTTTTCGCCTTTTATTAATGATTTCCATGAAGAAGAATTCTGAGTCTTAATGCTTTGAGGCCTTGCGTTTGCAGGGCTAATAGTTGTTTATTAACTGTCAGGAACTATGGAGTATGAGCAAAAATTTTTTGATATGTAAAGCAAATGTTTGTGGGAAAAGGCACAATAAATAAATAAATAAACAAACAAACAAATAACTTCCTTAAGGTAGTATTCAATAGTTTTCCTTTAATCAATGAAATTTAAGTATTTTTCCCCCTCTGTTGAGAAGGAGAAAAAAAAGTAGGAGAGGAAGAAAAGGGAGAGACAGAGGTAATTAAAGTTAAGGTCTGACTGCCTCATAATTGTCTTGCTCCTGCCTCCCAATTAGCTAGGATCACAGATACCCACAACAAAGCCTGGCACCTTCAGTTTGCCCCAGGAACTGAACCTAAAACCTCCGGTGTGGTCTCCAACTTCCAAGTGTTAGTGTATCACCACAGCTAGGCTCCAATAAATTTAAAATATTTATCTCCTTCCACATATTTTGTTTCAAATCAGAACATACAATATATACTACAAAGAACTTGCGAAAAACATTTTAATTCAGCTACATAGGAGACAATTATTAATTTTAACAAACAGTAAATTTTGAGGTTTGAAAAATACAGAAAACAGGTAAATAACTGGCTTACCTACCTTTTCAAATCATCAAATACATCTGGCAACAAAAAGTTTAATAATGACCAAAGCTCTGATAAATTGTTTTGCAAGGGAGTACCAGTCAAAAGAAGTTTGTTATCAGCATTGAATCGTTTTAACTCCCTGATAAGACGGCACTTCATATTCTTAATCCTGTGTCCTTCATCTACTATTAAGTATTTCCAATAGCAATGCTAGAAAATGAATTGAAGGAGAAATTTAAAAATAATGATCTCACAATTAGTTCTAAAACAATTTTAATAATAAAACTTCTCTTTCGGAGTGAGGGTGTTGAATCTTACCAAATGTCATTCAGTATCTATTGAAGTGATTATGTTTTCCTTTGATCCACTAATGAGATAATTAACAGATTCCTCAAATTGATAAAATATTTGTGTCCTTAGAATGGACTAAGTAGAGGGCATGAATGATATCTGAAGTCCACCTGATCTTAAATAGATTTCCATTCTTTCTTAACTCAAAGCAAATCTATAGCTTTCCTTTCTAACATTTTTAAAAAGATGTTATTTAACATTATTTATTTTTAATTTGATCAGAGAGGGACAGAGCAAGAACAAGACAGAGCAAGAGGGAAAGTGAGAAAGCAAGTCTACAGGAATAGGACTTGAACAGTGGTTGGTCACGTGGGAGTTCAGCATCCTTAGCCACCACGCCACCTGCCAGCCTCATTCCATTCTAACGTTTTGCCAAGTGTTCAGTAAATGTCATATTAATCAATGAAAAATGTAGTAACACTTGGGGAAAAATGAAAGCTTTCATTAAATCCATATTCTCTGAAACATTAAACACAATTAGAATTTTCCTTCTTAATGTCAACATCTGAGACCAACAGTTTTTTTTTTTTTAACTTACTAGAGAATTCATATGCTCTTCAGAGATGAAGAGAGCGGGAAAGTGAGAAAGGACTTTATACCATACCACATTCCCTACTTCTCTGCTCTCCTCTCAGGATACTGGGCATACATGCATGTTTCTGAAGCTGCAAGGTCTTTACATGAACCTCACAGTCGGCCTTAACCACTCTTGCCAACTGGCTAGTCCTAGACTGATACTTTTTTATCTGATGATGCTCTTAGTTTAATAGTTTCTTGTCTATCTAGGGATTCCAATTCTTCTAGAGTAGATTTTAGGAGATTTATAACAGAAACCTATCCATTTAATACTTCCAGAAATGTCTGTCCTCTTTTATTTTGATCAGTCAACTTACAAAACATCAAATTTATTAAATAAAAATACAGAAATATGTAGCTAGCAGGTGGTATGGTAGCTTAGGCACTAGACTCCCACATGGTTGACTGTGGTTTCAATTCCAGACCTGGAGGCTTGCCTTCCCTTTTTCCTTCTCTCTCTGGTGAGCACAAATGTCCTATATCAAATTTTTAAAAAATAACAAAGGGGCCAGCAGATGTCATAATGGTTAAGGTGCGAACTCCCATATGGCCAATCATGGTTCAAGTCCCAGACCCAGTGGCATAAAACTCACATAAGGGACATGTATATGTATGTCCATCTCCTCTGGAAGATGATTTCCTGCTTTCTCTCTTTCTCGTCCCTCTGGTGAGTGAATATACCCTACAGCAACAATATCTCCAAAGTAATGATGATGATGATAACAATAATAATAATAAAATTAAATAAATAAGTCTTCAAAACAATATAGAAAGACATAGTATTTCTACAAACATAACAAACTGGAAAATATAGGTGTCCTTAAAGAATGGGACTGGGAAATTGGGGAAAAGGTATAAAATGGAGCACTTCTTGCATTTTACTTCATATGTTCCTCAAAATTTTCTTTTAATTTTAATAATTTTATAATTTTCTTAATAAAACAAGTTGAAAAGGAGTTTTATTTGACAATATGGCAAATGAGATAACTTGAATAACTTCTCAACATAAGACAGCTATCTAAAAATGCCAGATAAAATATAAAACTACCTCTATAGTTGAATGGATGAAAGCAAAACACACCAAAGAAGAAATAATGAGCAAGTTGAAAAACAAATCAGTAAATAAAGACTGAGCTACTTCTGCTGCCACTCAGGAATGGGAGTCCTGGAATCCCATACCTATCACTTCCTAAAGTTAAGATCTTAGAAATGGTAACAAGCTCAGCAAAAAGAAAAACTAGAAAAATTTTAGCCACTGGCAAACTGTTGATAATGCTTAAATACTTCAATATATTGCAGACTAGGCTGGACAAGGAGAACACATTAATTAGAAAGATCTTCATGTTATATTACTGAATAGAAAACAGAAGTTAAGACTTATGGGTGATTTTATGTTGACCCCATTATCTATTACTTTCTTGTTCCATACAAGCAAAAAAAAACCAAAACCAAAACCAACCAAACAAACAAAAAACAAAAAACAAAAAACTAGGGAAGACATTCAGCATAGACACATGGTGAGAGAAAGAAACAGTAAAGCAGTAAAGAATTAATTATATGTGAAACAGTAGGAGTAATGAGGAAGAAATTAAAATCACCAATAAATAAACAAAAACAAAGGTTAATTTTTCAATTGCAGTATAACTTGAGCATTAGTAAGTAGGTAGAACATAAACAAAAAGATATGGAAATATTACCATATAGTTGCCTTCAAATATTATTATCATTTCATTACAATAAATAACATGGATAGGTAAATTCATAAACCTGAAGTACAATGTCACAAACATCTCTAATATATTCACAGATTAGGTCAATGTGTGACTGATTCTCTTTTTAAAAATGTCATGGTGGGACCAGCAGATGGTGCAGTGGCCAAAGGCGCTGGATTCCCACAAGGTTGACCATGAGTCCCAGACGTGGTCGTGTGCTTTCTCACTTTTTCTGTTTTGCTCTCTCCCTCTCTGGTAAAAAAAATAATAATAATTAATAAATAAATAAAGTTTAAAAAAAAAAAAAAAAACCTTCACACCAGGCACGTATGGACACATGCCCAAACTACCAAGAGGAAAATGGACTGTGGCATGGTCATCCCCCCAACGACCATGGGGTGATTTCTTTCTGTCTCGCCAATGAGCACGCACCACCCTATAGCAAAAATCTCTTTAAAAAAAAAAATAAAAAAGGTCATGGCTAGGGGCCAGCAGGTGGCATGGTAGTTAAAGTACTGGATTCCCACAAGGCCAACTCACTTTCCCTCTTTCTGTCTTTCTCTGGGTGAACACATGTGCCCTATAGCAATCTTAAAAAAAATAAATAAAATAAAATAATTAAAAAAGAAGTCATGGCTAGAGATTACAATGCCAGAGGCTTTGAGTTTATTGTTACACCCTACATTCCTACAGTCTTCATTCTAACCTTTTTTATTGAGAGGGTTTTGCTATAGGGCATGTGCGCTCACAAGACAGAGAGAGAGAAAAACAGAAAGCAAGAAATCATTCCCCAGGGGGTATGGCCACGCCACAATCCCTTCTCCTCCATTCTCCTCTTGGGATCTTGGGCTGGCACGTATACGTGCCTGGCGTGAGTTTAAGCAACGGGGTCCAAGATTCAAACTGCAGTCCACTATGTGGGAGTCCAGCGATGTAACCATTACACCATCTGCTGGTCCCCCCCAACCTTCTTTTAATGTATGCCTCTGGTTTTAACAGAATATGCACAATATAGTCTATTACTATCTATATATCTAAATATTACTTTAGTCAGGAAAAAAAATACAACTGAATGGTGAGAAAGTGGTATGAATTCAGAAATTCTACTAGAGCCATGGATACCAAAGAAACCAAGGAAGATCATTTGTACCTGTAATGCACTTCGGTCTCTCATAGCTATTTCAAATGACGTGATTACCACAGGATGAATCTGTAAGGTCCCTTTCCGTTTTTGAATATGCCG